GAGTCACCTGTTTATTATGTGGACTTTTGGGTTTTTGTGTTTTTATTTTGGAAGTGTATCTGGAGCTTAGCAGAAGAATTTCTCAGCCTAGATGGTACCGTACATGGCTTCTAACTAAAAGTAAGCAAAAGATTTGTATTAAATTACCTATATACATAGCTGGTTCTGAATTTGCCTACCAAAATGACTTTTAAGAAGAAGAAAAAGGAAACATGATGAGGATAGTACCTAGCAGATGCAGCAAGTTTTTTCAAAGATGATGAACAGATTTTGAAGAAGGTGGGTTTTTTCCACATCCAAAGGGCTTGTTTGTAGCTGAGAGGAACACCAGTTACCATTTATGAATTCCACAGGTGTCACAAAAAATAGAACTGTAGCATTAATTAATTTTTAACAATTAGTTTGGATAATCCTAATACCAAATCCCACTAATATTTTCAAAGCCTTGAAACAGAACAAAATATCTGTAGCCATTAAGAAAACTGTAGAATAAAAGAACAGGGGTCTATAAATGCAAGGTTCACAACCTTGGACAACCAAGGATTGCTTTCATCAGTGGAAATTGTGGGTATAGAGCACACCACAAAACATGTAACTTGAATTAAATCTCAGTAAAACTTCTGAAAAACATTCAAAAATATTCATAGAGATGTTCAGTAGTTCAATCCTGGACCTGATTCAAAAAAGAGGACTCCTGAAACGTACTGTCCTCAAAGGTGGTTATCCTGGGTCTTTACTGGCATGATAGAAAATGTGGTAAGGGAAGTCAATATAAAAGAAAGCCTTCAATTATTATTAACTAATGAAGCTGGAGAAAAAAATAATAAAACTCAAAATCAGAAAATCCAGCACTACTGACTAGAGTAGTAAGATTTTTCCTATTGCATATCAAATGAATAATACATGTGAATCCTTAATTTTTAATTTAGATATCTTCAGACGCATTATGTATCCCTATGAGTTACATACATGCACCCATAGAGAGAAAGTACAAACAGGTGCACATGACAGAATAGGTGGAAATTTATGAATATACTACTCTTTATGTAGATGTTCATTATTCCAAAATGCATATGTAAAAATCTTTGATCTCTGAATGTTCAACTATGGTCTTCAAGGAGGAAAAAAGAATGGGAAGCAGTTTATAAAAAGCTTGTGCTAGAATTGTGAACTGAGCTTGGCTGAAAAATGATACTGTATACATTGCTCAGAATCAAGGTCAAAAGTGAATTAGGAATCCAGGCCCTGAGTAATGAGGGCTTAGCACTTAGCAGAAATGACATGCCCAGTTTCCAGCTCAGAAGTGCCAGCTGACCTGCCAATGCAGCATTCCAGATCTGAAAGGGGCAAATCTGCTCTCCTAGCTACAGATAAGATGTGTGCTACTAATTATTGCTTATAGAGGCTTATGATGAAGTACAGTAGGATATTTGTCTGGAAGCCAATTCTCAGCCTAGAATTCAGTCAGCCCGGGCCATGAAAATCTGTCTCAAGTAATATAAGCAATATTCAGAAAGAAGGGTCTTTTACTGAATAGGGATAGAAGAGGAAAGAAGCAGTCTGACCATACTATCTAACATAAACTCTTCATTTGAGGTATAAAGAGATTTAATAGTTGATTGTACAGAAGGATACCTCCAAAGGAAAAAAAAAAAAAAAGAAAATTAAAACAATCCTTCTGCTCACAGAAAAACTAAGATGAATATATTGAAGTTATCCAAGAGGCCCTAGAGTCTAGCGTTGTTGATTAAATTAGACACCTGTTCATTTCTGACCTCTTCTGTCTCACTGGAACACATGTCAGCAAAGTCTTTACATACTCAACTTAACTCTAAATATTTGTAGCATTCTTTTTTCTTTTTCTCCAAGTAACAATTTTCTCATCAAATTTCTCATTTCCAAATCACTACAAAGTAAGACACAGGAAT